GTATCATTACGGTACCATCATTACTGATATAATCCCCCTAATTATCCCTTACTCCAAACGATGCACCCCTTCTTCATTGATAATTGGGCTGTTCCATTATTCTACAGGGCACAAAATCATTTCCCACGCTGCCTACAATATTTTTGTTGGCAGTTTGGGATGTAGGCAGTTTGGAACTGTAGGCAGTATTGGACCTTAGCATAGAAACAGGCCGTTATGAAGGAATCGAACGCGCAGAAAGGAGATGTTTCCACTGCCAAGATAAAGTTGAATCTGAACAGCACGTTATATTGGAATGTCCACTTTACTAAGATTTAAGAGAAGACCTTTAATATCAGCAAACATTCTATACCACATTTTACCCTCTTATCGGAACCTGAGTAGTTATCACTCCTTTTAAGCTCCGAAGATCTTATAAAAGTATGTGCCAAAAACTGCTTTAGAATCATTTTACGACGCCAGCAATTTTTGAATAAATAATCTCATACCTAATGTTGCATATACTTGTTATGCTATATGTATGCAAGTGTATTATTTTATGTTCAGCTTTGTTTTATCAACTTGAATTCTTTTATATTGCTCTGTGATATTATATATAACCGTCTCTCTCATAACTCCATTGGAGTGGCATTTGTGCATAACATTTTTATATATTTTATTTTATATATTTTATTCATATGTGTATTATTCTTTTAATGTACATATGGTGAGACGTAAATAAAACAATCTGTCTGTCTGTCTGCCAAAACAGTAAAATTAGCCTACTCTGCTCCGGAAACCCGGGAGAGACCATGAGGTGCCATCACAAAAATGGCATTACCTGACAATAACACCGATGAAATGTTGAATTTTAGCATAACGAGCTTGCACATATTACTATGAGCCTGCGGTTAGTTAAATTAGTCTTGACTATCAATAAGATTTCACTACGGAAAGACTTCGGAACACAAATTTTCAAATTTGCAAGGTCTAACATTCATTTCGATTTCGGGAGAAACAAACTTTACTTAGGCAAGTTGTTATACTATGTCAGATAAATTCTGTGAGTGTGTGAGTTAATATTAAACGTCACATCGGAAATAGTTCAGCCATACCGTGACGATAATATACATTCGGATGGCAGGCGGCAGGCAGTTGAGTTTGAAATGCCGTCCTTGAAGGTGGCTGTTAGTCCATCCAATCAAAGTGGTCAACTGTGGAGCACGTCCTTGACAAGTTATACATGCTCTCCTCGGGATCAGTTGTAGCGTGAACATTCGGGTTAGAATTGGTCTTCAGCAATCCATGCTTGTTGTAAAAGGCGTCTATCGAGATCGGGTGATCAGGACCGCTGACCTGGTTGACACATGCCATCGTATCCTAATTGCGTAGATCACTGGTCACTTGTGTCCAGACTCGATTATTTCCAGACCGCCGCCATATAGCTGGTACATTGCTTCGTAGGCGTTAAACAAAAACCCCAAACAAACAAAACCCATCAGGCTCGGGTTGTAGTGATTGGAATTGAGACAGGTTGCTCGACTTCTACTACCTAATTCTCGCGGTCTCTGTGCCAACAGTGTGAAGATTCTGTCCACTACATTTTGTTTGCCCTTTATATGACAGTATCAGACAGAACATGTATATTATCTGAATGGATATGACTTTAACTCGATTAACCTACTTAAATATAAGAAACTAACATAGATTTTCTCCAATCTGTACACGATTTTATCTTGTTTTCAGACAGATTTAAACTGCCTTACATTTGATTTGTTACTATTTCTTTCCAGCACTGACTATATTCATACACCTGGAATGCTGCTGAGTGCGGCGTGAAACGACAACCAACCAGCCAGCCAACCAACCAACGACTGACTATATAAACGTATTCCTTGACTCTATGTAGTATGTTAACCATATTATCCGGTGAGCCATTCGGTGTACATATTCAATTTCATGGAATAGTGGGTGAGTGAGTTTAGTTTTACGCCGCACTCAGCAATATTCCAGCTATATGGCGGCGGTCTGTAAATAATCGAGTCTGGACCAGGCAATCTAGTGATCAACAGCATGAGCATCGACCTGCGCAATTGGGATACGATGACATGTGTCAACCAAGTCAGCGAGCCTGACCACCCGATCCGTTAGTCGCCTCTTACGACAAGCATGGGTTACTGAAGATCAATATTCTAACCTGGATCTTCACGGGTATTTCATGGAATAAATACGTTTCAACCAGAATATGAACCTATATAAGGATTTTATTCATAAACATATCAGCTCGAAGTATTCTCGTTGTCCAGTGCATCGTAAGGTTCGAAATAGCCTCCATTTTCCCCTTACCTCACTGAGCGTACTTCTACTGTTTCATCAAATGGAGTCCGTTAGCTTGTTGTGATGAAGATTGAACACGCGCTCATTTCATGGTCTCTTGCGTATGTTAGTATAAAATGAGCTAAATAATCAGCGCTGAGATCAATATCATCAATATCAAATGTGTAACCACCTCCTGATAGTCGTCCATACTCAGATAACGTAAGTGCGGCAAGACATCATAACATCAGCATTAACACCAGTGGCCGTGTATTATCATGACATAAGAATTAACATCAGTGGCTGTGTATTATCATGACATAAGAATTAACATCAGTGGCTGTGTATTATCATGACACATGAATTAACATCAGTGGCTGTGTGTTATCATAACATCAGCATTAACACCAGTGGCTGTGTATTATCATGACATAAGAATTAACATCAGTGGCTGTGTATTATCATGACATAAGAATTAACATCAGTGGCTGTGTGTTATCATAACAGCAGCATTAACATCAGTGGCTGTGTATTATCATGACATAAGAATTAACATCAGTGGCTGTGTATTATCATGACATAAGAATTAACATCAGTGGCTGTGTGTTATCATAACAGCAGCATTAACATCAGTGGCTGTGTATTATCATGACATAAGAATTAACATCAGTGGCTGTCTGGTTTCATAACATCAGCATTAACATCAGTGGCTGTGTATTATCATGACATAAGAATTAACATCAGTGGCTGTGTGTTATCATGACATAAGAATTAACATCAGTGGCTGTGTGTTATCATGACATAAGAATTAACATCAGTGGCTGTGTGTTATCATAACAGCAGCATTAACATCAGTGGCTGTGTGTTATCATATCATCAGCATTAACATCAGTGGCCGTGTATTATCATGACATAAGAATTAACATCAGTGGCTGTGTATTATCATAACAGCAGCATGAACATCAGTGGTTGTGTATTATCATACCATAAGAATAAACATCAGTGGCTGCGTGTTATCATAACAACAGCATTAACATCAGTGACTATGTATTATCATGACATAAGAATTAACATCAGTGGCTGTGTGTTATCATAACAGCAGCATTAACATCAGTGGCTGTGTGTTATCATAACATCAGCATTAACATCAGTGGCTGTGTATTATCATGACATAAGAATTAACATCAGTGGCTGTGTGTTATCATAACAGCAGCATTAACATCAGTAGCTGTGTATTATCATGACATAAGAAATAACATCAGTGGCCGTGTGTTATCATAACAACAGCATTAACATCAGTGGCTATGTTTTATCATGACATAAGAATTAACATCAGTGGCTGTGTGTTATCATAACAGCAGCATTAACATCAGTGGCTGTGTATTATCATGACATAAGAATTAACATCAGTGGCCGTGTGTTATCATAACAACAGCATTAACATCAGTGGCTATGTTTTATCATGACATTAGAATTAACATCAGTGGCCGTGTATTATCATATCATCAGCATTAACATCAGTGGCTGTGTATTATCATGACATAAGAATTAACATCAGTGGCCGTGTATTATCATAACATCAGCATTAAGATCAGGGGCTGTGTGTTATCATGACATAAGAATTAACATCAGTGGCTGTGTATTCCAAGTGCGCACCTTTACGTGAACACAGAAAGCTACTAATAATTGCATTGCTGGGAGAGAAGAGGTTTTGTTGATAAAAGACTGATTTTCATTTTCGAACAATAACAATGGAGAAATGTAGTTGTTTCCCGTTTACTTTTCTTATTCGGCTGATTGATAGAACGTAGAAAAATCTTTTCTGTCGTGTACATATGATTTTTTGTTATCGCTTAAACTGTTTGGAAATAATAACCATCAAAGAGATTTCTGAAGTCCCAATTTTAACAGATAGGTATCAATTAAAACCAAATATTTTTGTTTTCTCATCTTGTGATCGTCTTGCTTCACAAAACATACCTGCTTTTTATCAGCTCTCCGAAATGCAGCAACTCAACATCAGTTGTATTTCTAACATGACTGCACAGTGTATAAGGGTCCCCGTATGGAACTATATCAATCAATGTCTTACTAAGATACTCCCTAGTTTATTAATTCAAACATGGCCTGCATGATAGCGATCCTCGGGATATCACTGAATGAATTATTGATGCATTAAAATGTGTGATTATCATTTTAAAATAGGGATAAATCTATCTCTGACTTTATCAACAACATTCCCAAATCTCAGATTTGCTAGTAACCAAGTATTACATCTTATGCACCATAAACTCCTACAAACGACATGATTCAACATAACTATTCATGCATCAACTGAAAACGTTTGTGGGAGCTTTACATAGTAATTCCAGATGATTCTACCTTATCTAAATCCCATCACACGCAACTGATTACGCAACAATGCTGTAAACGATTCCATCTGTGAACATATATTTGTGATGTAAGCAACTACCACGTGCGTTACATGGAATTGTGTCCTTTTTCAGGTGACCTTTCACTGCGGCAAGTTATACACTGAAATTGCCTTATCTTCCTCAATCATGATTAAACGGTTGGTAGTCGGCGTAGAAATCAGGAAATCGTAGCCTTTATCAGAGGGGCATGTGTGTGGTAATGGTGGTGGAAGCAGGAGGGTTTAGTAGTTACTGGCTGGCCATAATCGGTGACATTAAGCTTACAAGTACGAGAGGAGACAGACACAGACCCAATAGCCAGCATCTTGCACAGACAGCCGACAGCATCTGTGTGGTAAGTCATGTCCAGCTGTGTGCAGTCAAGGGTCAGTGCGCTGACCTGGCAAACAGAGTCCTGGGAGAAGGCTGTGAGGTAACTTCAGGCTGATCAGCTTTCATCAGTTACAACAGCAGAACAGCAATAGCAAGGACGGTGCCAACAAGCTTGAGCCGTATATGGAAAACCCGTTCCCCATAACTGATGACGTGGTGCACAAGATCCGACTTGTGAACTGCGGAGGTAGGGGGACGAAGAAATAGAAGATATTCGCACCGCCATCTTAGAATATTATTAACTGTTGTAGTTTTGGATACGCATTTTTCGATTTTGACTGCTTCGTTTCCCTGCAATGGAAGAGGTGGTGTGCGCGGTATGTGTTCAGTTTGAACCCCAGACATGGCGGAAGTCTCTATGTAAGAACTGTTTTCATGGCCTCGAGGAACATACGGAAGACGTTGATAAAACACCGGCGGTGACTCAGAAAGATGAGTCGGATAAAAATGAGGAAAAAACGACAGGTGCCAAGACACAAGAAACAGCCAAAGAACAACTAGCCACGCTAAAAACAGGTAAAGATAGTAAACATGCCACCGCATCTATTCCTAAAACTAGCCCAAAGTCACCAACCAAAACTACTACGGCTTCACTGTCGTCTAAATTTGGATCTGCTTTAAGTAAAAATACAGATAATGGTAAAACTGATACCGGAAAAGCAACAGGGAGGTTAACAAGTATATCGTCTAAATCCACCACTGAGGCAACGAAACGTGTACCTGGCTCAGTTTCCAAGCAGACGACAGATGTGAAAATAGCAGGAAAAGTAACTGACAAAAAGCTGAATGGCTCTGATAGTAAACTGAAGACATCTAGTTTAAAAGAAAGTAATTCGTCAGTGAAGGATTCATCAGTGACAAGGCTAGGGCATAAATCTGGAGAAGCGAAAACTGTTGACGCAAAGCGCTACAGCCTAGTGAGCCGGCTCAGGTTTCCAAGTCGGACAACAATAAGTCTGCAGGCAGCAGCAGTCGGTATGCCAGTACGGGAGGGGTGAACAAGGTGAAACATCTACTTCGATCATTCGGCTCCGGAGATGAGCCGGCTGACGCACATGATGAGAAGAAAGCTCTTTCCGACCTCGACAAACATGCAACCCGTACTGAGTCTGACGTCACAGCCAAATGTCAAGCCAGTGAAGGGAGTCATGTTACTGCTAAGACACTTGTGATTGGCAAGGAGAAGGAATCAGTATCTACCAGTGCGTCTAAAACAGTGCACGCGTCTGCAAGTAGCAGTAAAACAGTCAAAGTCGTCGCAACTGGCAAACCGGATGATGGCAGTTCGGGCTCCGGTAGAAAGTCACCTTCGATTACGATCAGTCTCCGAGGAGGTGTGGCGGATATCAAGGTAGGAAGAGCCGGCTCTACAGCTAAAGTAGCAGGAACACTTGAGGATGGTCATGGTGAGAGAGACAAGAGAGAGTGGAACGGGAGTTGCAACAATTAAAGGCAAAGGAACAAGAGTTTCTTGAGCTGAAGGCAAAAGAAAAGAACTAGTGGCTAAAGAAAAAGAATTCAAGGAACTGAAAGCGCGGGAGCAAGAACTTAAGGAAGTGAGAGCAAAGAACGTGAGCTTAAAGCTAAAGAAAAGAGTTTAAGGATCTTTTGGCAAAGAGAAGGTACAAAGGGAAGGTAAAATGTAAAGAACAGAATTAAGAGACAAAGGAACACGAAATTAAGAATCTTAAAATCAAGGAAAAAGAATTTAGGGAGTTGAAAGCCAAAGAAAATTATATAAACGCTAAAGAGAATGAAATTCGTAAGCAGGAAGAGAACTTAGCAGGACTGAAGGCTAAACTAGCTCAGATGGAAGAGAAGTGCAAAAAGCTGGATGAGGAAAATATGTCTCTTAAGCAAACTTCTGCTCATGAGAAGAAAGAGGACATGGAAAAGCTACTTGGAGACTTGAGGCGGCAGCTATCTTCCATGGAAGATCGGTGTGTCAAATTGGAGGGCGACAACGTAGGCCTTATGGCTGGACTTAAAGAGAAGGAAGAAGCACTAAGAAAAGCCAGTCATGGTGGATCATTGGAAATGGTTGCTCTCAGCCAGAAGTTCCGTGACTCGGAGAAAGATGTAGGCGAGGTGGAGGAGGAGAATGCAGAAGCTAAAAAGTGAGATCAAGGGAGATACGTGAGGAGATGGAGGAAATGTATGACACTTTCAGGAGAATGAAGTGGATGAATTCAGGGACATGCAAGAAGAGCTAGAAATCACAGCCAAAATTTGTCGCATTTTGCAGTTCAAACTTCGGAAATCTGAACGTCGCATTGAACAGGTTGAAGCCGATAAAACTCACTATGAGGAAAGGATGAGACTACTACAAAATCAATGCGAGTCTGAGGACACACGTGCGCACGTGCGGAAAGTGGAGGACGAGCTGAAGATGGCGAAGAAGTGTCGGTGAGGCTGCACGACGAACTTGACATGTTGGATGAAAAGAAGAACAAGTCAGAGGAAGATAGCAGACATCTCACCGAACTTCTGGAACAAGCTGACAAGAAACAGTTTCGTATGGAGATGGAGATTGATAAATTACGTGATCAGGTCAGTGCATAAATATGTTGGCAATATTAGTATTGGAGTGACAAGAACCAAAGAATCTAGATGAGGCGAGACTTTCTTCATTTGACGTCTCATATCAATATACTTACGTAAATTGCAATGTCAGGTAGCCCAGGGTTATATGGTGGTGTGCATAGCTATCGTAGAAAATATGATAAGGGTATGTAGTTGTGCAGCTCTGTACTCAACAAAGGGTTATGCACTAAAGTACTGTCGGAAATAGAAAAAACTGTATTTTTCTTATTTATCTCTAGAATTTATGTAGTTGATAGGGGAAAGTGTAAGAAATATCTGTTAAACTAAGTTCGGCCTAACTACAGTCTCAGTGAGAGAGAGATAGGAAACGGAAAAAGGACTTTACTGAGGGAAATTAGTGCAAAAAGACTTATTTGGAACAGACCATGGCTTTATGCAAATTAGTGTGCGACAATATTGTATTACAAAGGACACTTTTGAAATGCCCAATTTGAAATTAGACGTAGATTCATTATAAACGATAGCTGACGTAAAAAATAATAACTTTTATTGTGAAACTATTAAGGATGTAGCTACCATGCAGTCTCAATGTCACTATACAAAGAAACAGATAGGAGGGGTCGCCTCAAAAGCAAAACCTGGGGTCGGGCTTGGGAATAGAGATATCAGCTAAGATAAGATAATCCTTTAGGACAATTATACTGGGGAGAGGTACACGGCACGTCATAACAATTTACAAAATAATATCCAGTCCTGTCGATCTTCGGGTGGTCATGCCACCTATATACTACGATGCGTTTCTATGGTTTTCGGGTATCATACTCTCTTACATATCTCAACACAAACTTTATGAAAGAAAGACACGTAAGATGTTAATCAGTAGATGAGACATAGTCAACACAAATGAAAAAGCACAAAATATCTTTCAGATGACCCCTTGTGCCTGTAGGCAGCACGTGCATTTCATGCCAGGTGAGTCGACGGCCCGTCGTCATACCTGGCTGAGCGACCTAATTGCCATCTATAGTCTGATCTATTGTTTTCAGCAGCTATTCGAATTTTTTCTAAGTTTTGCCCGATTTTACGAGTAAACATGCTTTTCTGGATATCGTATTACGCATCGCACTGAACGCCCTGTTAGGCCGAAGTGGGTTATTTCGACATATGCTATTTGCAATTCTGTCAATTTTAGGGATACAGAGTAACAGCCTAAAAACATTTTTTTTCTTTTTCCGACAGTACTTATAGGGCTATGTGGTGATGTTAATGTTAAACTAATCTGCTTCGTACACAAAAGCTGTCTAAGTGATGTGACTGTTTTACTACCATGGGACATGCACTACCTATGGCAAAGTACTGATGCGAATGGATTTGGGGTATATGCCCAATACGAGGTCTATGTAGTGATGTCAATGTAGAACCGCCATGTGACAGACACAAGAGATATGTATAGTGAACTCAATATAGAACCGCCATGTGACAGACACGAACTATGTATAGTGATGTTAATGTAGAACCGCCATGTGACAGACACAAGAGATATGTATAGTGATGTTAATGTAGAACCGCCATGTGACAGACACGAACTATGTATAGTGATGTCAATGTAGAACCGCCATGTGACAGACACAAGAGATATGTGTAGTGATGTTAATGTAGAACCGCCATGTGACAGACACAAGAGCTATGTATAGTGATGTTAATGCAGAACCGCCATGTGACAGACACAAGAGCTATGTATAGTGATGTTAATGCAGAACCGCCATGTGACAGACACAAGAGCTATGTATAGTGATGTCAATGTAGAACCGCCATGTGACAGACACAAGAGATATTTATAGTGATGTTAATGTAGAACCGCCATGTGACAGACACAAGAGATATGTTTAGTGACGTTAATGTAGAACCGCCATGTGACAGACACGAACTATGTATAGTGATGTCAATGTAGAACCGCCATGTGACAGACACGAGAGCTATGTATAGTGATGTCAATATAGAACCGCCATGTGACAGTCACAAGAGCTATGTATAGTGATGTCAATGTAGAACCGCCATGTGACAGACACAAGAGCTATGTATAGTGATGTCAATTTACAACCGCCATGTGACAGACACAAGAGCTATGTATAGTGATGTCAATGTAGAACAGCCATGTGACAGACAGAAGAGCTGTGTATAGTGATGTCAAGGTAGAACTGCCATGTGACAGACACAGGAGCTATGTATAGTGATGTCAATATAGAACTGCCATGTGACAGACACGAGAGCTGTGTATAGTGATGTCAATATAGAACCGCCATCTGACAGACATATGAGCTATGTATAGTGATGTCAATGTAGAACCGCCATGTGACAGACACGAGAGCTATGTATAGTGATGTCAATATAGAACCGCCATGTGACAGACACAAGAGATATGTATAGTGATGTCAATGTAGAACCGCCATGTGACAGTCACAAGAGCTAAGTATAGTGATGTCAATGTAGAACCACCATGTGGCAGACACAAGAGCTAAGTATAGTGATGTCAATTTAGAACTGCCATGTGACAGACACAAGAGCTATGTATAGTGATGTCAAGGTAGAAGTGCCATGTGACAGACACAAGAGCTATGTATAGTGATGTCAATATAGAACCGCCATGTGACAGACACGAGAGCTATGTATAGTGATGTCAATATAGAACCGCCATGTGACAGACACGAGAGCTATGTATAGTGATGTCAATATAGAACCGCCATGTGACAGACACAAGAGCTATGTATAGTGATGTCAATATAGAACCGCCATGTGACAGACACAGGGAGCTGTGTATAGTGATGTCAACGTAGAACCACCATGTGACAGACATATGAGCTATGTATAGTGATGTCAATGTAGAACAGCCATATGACAGACACGAGAGCTATGTATAGTGATGTGAATGTAGAACCGCCATGTGACAGACACAAGAGCTGTGTATAGTGATGTGAATGTAGAACCGCCATGTGACAGACACAAGAGCTATGTATAGTGATGTTAATGTAGAACCGCCATGTGACAGACACAAGAGCTATGTATAGTGATGTTAATGTAGAACCGCCATATGACAGACACAAGAGCTATGTATAGTGATGGCAATATAGAACCGCCATGTGACAGACACGAGGCTATGTATAGTGATGGCAATATAGAACCGCCATGTGACGAGACACAAGAGCTATGTATAGTGAAATCAATATAGAACCGCCATGTGACAGACACAAGAGCTATGTATAGTGAAATCAATATAGAACCGCCATGTGACAGACACGAGAGCTATGTATAGTGATGTCAATGTAGAACCGCCATGTGACAGACACAAGAGATATGTATATTGATGTCAATGTAGAACCGCCATGTGACAGACACAAGAGCTATGTATAGTGATGTCAATATAGAACCGCCATGTGACAGACACAAGAGCTATGTATAGTGATGTCAATGTAGAACCGCCATATGACAGACACAAGAGCTATGTATAGTGATGTCAATGTAGAACCGCCATGTGACAGACACAAAAGAGCTATGTATAGTGATGTCAATATAGAACCGCCATGTGACAGACACAAGAGATATGTATAGTGAAATCAATATAGAACCGCCATGTGACAGACACAAGAGCTATGTATAGTGATGTCAATGTAGAACAGCCATGTGACAGACACAAGAGCTGTGTATAGTGATGTCAAAAGGTAGAACTGCCATGTGACAGACACAAGAGCTATGTATAGTGATGTCAATATAGAACTGCCATGTGACAGACACGAGGAGCTGTGTATAGTGATGTCAATATAGAACCGCCATCTGACAGACACAAGAGCTATGTATAGTGATGTCAATATAGAACCATAATGTGACAGACACGAGAGCTATGTATAGTGATGTCAATATAGAACCGCCATGTGACAGACACAAGAGCTATGTATAGTGATGTCAATATAGAACCGCCATGTGACAGACACAGGAGCTGTGTATAGTGATGTCAACGTAGAACCACCATGTGACAGACATATGAGCTATGTATAGTGATGTCAATGTAGAACAGCCATATGACAGACACGAGGCTATGTATAGTGATGTGAATGTAGAACCGCCATGTGACAGACACAAGAGCTGTGTATAGTGATGTGAATGTAGAACCGCCATGTGACAGACACAAGAGCTATGTATAGTGATGTTAATGTAGAACCGCCATGTGACAGACACAAGAGCTATGTATAGTGATGTTAATGTAGAACCGCCATGTGACAGACACAAGAGCTATGTATAGTGATGGCAATATAGAACCGCCATGTGACAGACACAAGAGCTATGTATAGTGAAATCAATATAGAACCGCCATGTGACAGACACGAGAGCTATGTATAGTGATGTCAATGTAGAACCGCCATGTGACAGACACAAGAGATATGTATATTGATGTCAATGTAGAACCGCCATGTGACAGACACAAGAGCTATGTATAGTGATGTCAATATAGAACCGCCATGTGACAGACACAAGAGCTATGTATAGTGATGTCAATGTAGAACCGCCATATGACAGACACAAGAGCTATGTATAGTGATGTCAATGTAGAACCGCCATGTGACAGACACGAGAGCTGTGTATAGTGATGTCAATATAGAACCGCCATCTGACAGACATATGAGCTATGTATAGTTATGTCAATGTAGAACCGCCATGTGACAGACACGAGAGCTATGTATAGTGATGTCAATATAGAACCGCCATGTGACAGACACAAGAGCTGTGTATAGTGATGTCAATGTAGAACCGCCATGTGACAGACACAAGAGCTATGTATATTGATGTCAATATAGAACCGCCATGTGACAGACACAGGAGCTGTGTATAGTGATGTCAATGTAAACCGCCATGTGACAGACACAAGAGCTATGTATAGTGATGTCAATATAGAACCGCCATATGACAGACACGAGAGCTATGTATAGTGATGTTAATGTAGAACCGCCATGTGA